GTCTTTGAAACACCTTCTTTGTTAAAAATACATATTTATGTTGAAGCATGGTTCAAACACAAGAACATGTTTACCTGGTGTTGCATCACTTCTACTAACAACATTTTGTCAATGATTTATAACTCTGGGTCTAACGTCTGTAAATTTGGAAATCAAACGTATATGTTTACGATTTCTAGAGAATTTTATATGTGCAATAGTTCGGGACCACTTTTGCTGTATTTATTTTGTGATATTAATTTAAATGGTTTCAGTGAGTGGCAGGTCTTGACTGCTAGTTTCAGGAACAGTGAAGTAGGACCCAAGGATGCAGACATAGCTCAAACACTTAGGCATACAAATAAAGGAATCTAATTACCAAAAATAAAGAGCAGTATGTTCATGTCCCCTGTCACTGAGGGATCGGAATAGGAAATATTTGTAGTTTTCAAGATGAGTGCTTTTCTGGACTGGAATTTAACAGGGAGTGCAAGTGCATTTTAATGTTTTTGGTGCAAGATATACAAGTGGGTAGGAGCTCCACAGCACAGATTTATGGATCCTGACGAGCGGAGGGAGCAATTTTATCCACGACCAGGTACAATGGCGGAGCCAGAAGAAGGCCAGTGTTGGCTTTGACCTCAGTGTATATATATATATATATATATATATATATATATATATATATATACATATACATGCATACATCTTGGACCATTTCGTGGTAACCCAAATTTTGATTGATGTTTTTTGTTTTTTTTACATCTAGATGTAGCCACACACCAAAATGAAGTTGATACCTTACCTTTTTCGCAACAAGCATGTACGGACGGATTGAGGAGGACAAATAACTGACAGCGACAGAAAAATACAAAAAGCGGAAATTGAATACCACAAGAACCACTTACTGAAACCAGAAACAAGACGACTGGTTAGTAACAACCTGTACAACTAAATGACTGAGAGAGAGAGAAAACCAAAAGTATATGCAGAACTGGAAAAAAAAAAAAAGATTACTAATGGAAACAATGGACACTAATGAACACAAGGAACTTGTGAGAAGATAGAATGACTGAAGTGCAATAGCCGATGATACACAGAAACAAAAACAAAACAACACTGAACACATGAACCCTCAAAATAAATTAACAGCATGTTTATTGTTTAAGATAATTACAAGAAGAATGAAACAAAACAAACACAAAAATCTAGGATCATAACAGCTAGCTGGTTAAATTAACAGATTGTTTTAAAATGAAACATAGTGTTCCAGAATCTCTTGTTTTCATTGTCTTACTGAAACAGGCTGTGCTTTTTCTGATTTTCAACAAAACAACCATGATGGTATCAAAGATTGATCTAGCCTGAGCAATCATCATTTTTCACGAGTCATTCCTCATACAGATGTGCATGTTTCCCTTATGCACTACTTCGCCCACATACCATAACAAATCGTTGTTTTGAGTATTAATCATTGAAGATGCTGGGTAGTGTATTTTCTCTTCAGTTTAGATACAATAGTGACTATGATTTTAAAACAGATTAAAATATATCATATCACAAATATCTGTATGCATACAGGAGCTTCTCTCCATTGTAGCTGGATGATAGACCAGAAAAAAACAGAAAATGTCTTGGTCTTACATAAACAGATCGTTTTTTTGTTTTTCTTTAGAGTTAACATTTTTATTACATTTGTGGATGAAATCAAGAACTGTGTGCAGAGTATTTAAAATAATATTCCTGGGTTTGTTTGATAATTACCTTCATATAATCAGGATTGTTTATAATGCGGAAATGCTTGAGGGGATGGAGGTTTTTAAGATCACAAATTTTCCATATCAGTTTTTGGAGTTCCAAAAGATTTTTGCTCAATTTCCTGCATCTTTTTTATTGACTGTATGAACTTTGTTAAATAAATCATAATTAATCATTTTTTAAATGTTTTTAACGAGGCCTCAGTCTAAAGTTGTGGTTCTATTTCTGAACCATTTCCTTTACAAGTTTATTCCTTCTCACATATTTTATTTATTTATTTTTTTTGCATCTAATCTTTTTGTCAATGCTAATCCTTTAATATGGACACTACAGTTAGTCAAGCATAGCAAGCAGCTAAAACGCAGACAGCTTTACACATATTGAACTAAAATTTTGTGTAGTAGAAATAGCAAAGAGTCATCTGTGTCATACTCTGAGCTGTGGCATATCATGTTAAAAATTGTGTTAAAACACTGGCACTACATTTTAGTAACAACAGTGGTTCAACATGGTCACCACTGCTTTATGACCTTTTTCTAGCACAAAAATGGACATTACTCAGTAGATTTTGTTTAATTTTGCTGGGACATCAACTGGAAATCTTCCCCATGGCACCCTAAACTCTAACAGATTGCATACGATTTTTATTGTTTTTGACACATAATGATGTCGGCAATATGCATTCCTTCAAGAAATACTAGTTTTTATGTCTTGATGACTCAAAATGACTAAAATAAGACCTGCATTTAAAAGATCATTGCTTTGTACAGTAGTCCCTCACTTATCATGGGGGTTACGTTCCAGACACCCCCACAATAGGTGAAAATCCACGAAGTAGGGACGTTATATTTATTTCAGTATTTATATGTATTTTAAGGCTTTATAAACCCTTCCCACACTCTTCAATATTCTTAACAATGTTCTAAACTCTAAACACTATAAGAGAGCAGACAGACTGATGCTACAGTTACTGAGCCAATCAGCACCCGGTGAAATGTCCTGGTGCTTGGTTCGGGTCATGCTTGATTATTTAAAAAAAACAATCTGTGCCGCTCACTCTGGTATCCGCCTCACTGAAGCTCCCACAGCATTGATGGGGAAAGGCAGACCCCACGCACTGCCAGCCTCAGAAAGAGAAAGGAGGGAGGCCCTCAGCGATCACTGAGTGGCCAGGCTACCAGAAAACAATGTATACAATCTTACGTTGAAAACCTGCTAAAGAGTGAGCCCGCAAAAGTCGAACTGCAAAGTATCGAGGGAATACTGTATCTGCATAAATACTTAGCATTTTGCATTAGTTTACAAATGCATTCAATATCCCTAGTACTTTTTAAAAAGGGGCTACTGATGTATTCATAAAATGGAACATATGTTTAATATAAAGTCTTAAAGAGTTGTATATATATATATATATATATATATATATATATGTATATACGTTGTTGTTTTTAGTTATTCTTTCAAGTTAAGCTGTGTTTTTAGGAATGTTGTGCTAATGCAATTAGATTTTTCTACCTGGATTATTGAGCATGCATCAGGATGCTTATGCAGTACATTATATATGTGTGTATTGTATGAAAAGTGGGTTTTAAATGTTTTTTATTTCTACAGTTTATAGTACTTTTGAACATGGGAATGTGGTAGTAAAGTCTGCAAGTTTCTTTGCTCTGCTACAGGGATCCCACTGAGCAGGGAAGGCACTTTGTCAGTGTGACTTCCCCAGCAGTTTGAAGCCTTTGTCAGTCCTCTGCCCTGAGCAATTCATGCCTTTTATCCCCCAGATTGGATATGGATGGCTTTTCATGTGTTATAACATAGCTGCTTGTGTTGGGGGTCTCTAAGCAGTATTGTCCACCACCCAGTTTCCATTTACACATGTATCTATGAAGATGGGCTCATCTAAGACCTGACAACATATCTACATGTATTGTAATGGAAATGAGGGCTTTCATGTACGGCTAAGCAGGTACATTCCACCAGCCGGTAATCTGCCGTTGTGCGGCTGCAGCAGATCAAGAGTAGCTGCTTTGTGATTGCAGCACCTCCAGGAACGTCAGGATTGTTTTCTCTCATCGGTTAGCGGCCCTCCAACGGCTGTTGATATATTATAAATTATTTACACAGTCATTTTGGAATGCAATATCCTCCACTAAACGCTGGCTTTTCTTCTCTGTGGTTATTAGAGTAAACGTGGCAGTAGGCGCACAAGTCCGAGGGGGACCCTAAGCTACAGAAATTGAAAATTGATCAGGCAGTGTGGGGAGTTGTTGTTCTTGACACCTCGGGTTCACCCTGGGACTGTTGATTAGCATTTACTGTACATCGCTGTACACTGACTGCACCTGGGCTGCCTGCAGCTACAACCCACCCACCACCAACCTGCTCCTTGCCTGTTCATCCTAAAGCTCGATCGCTTGTAAGAGCAAGCAAGATGGATTAAATTTAATTTCCAGCATGTCCATTTCCACAGCTAAAGGAGATGTAGAGAAACATTCCCCATGACATTATACAGGACATTAATTTTTTATTACATTATTATGTTTCTGTTTATAGCTTCTGCTTCGAGGTTTGAGCACTGCATTTCCTGTAAATATTCCTCTTCCTTCACTGATAACATAAATGTCAGCTCTTAAAGATCCAAATAATTACCTGCTGACAGTTGGCGTCTTTCTCATTTCAATCGTGCTATTAGCACTATTTGACACATCTCGACAAGTTGCCCGCAGAGCTAATTGTAATATGGATTGATAGCACAAGCTTTGGCATGTTTATGTGAGCTGTTTTATGTCATGACACAAAAAGACACCACAAGTTAATAAAACCACTGCTTATAAATAGTGGGCTGTTGCTAATTTTCTTATCCTCTCTTTTTCTGTTTTCTTTTTTGTCTCTCCAGCATTGGATAGAAGACCTGACAAGCACAGCGAGAAGTGTGAATAAGGACCCTAAAGCAGAGAGGACCAGGGTTACTGTGGCTGTTTTTCATCGCTCAGAAGCTGGTGGGCTCCAATATCACAGCTGATGACTGCCCCTCCGGAAGCTGGAGAACAGGGCTTTGCGGCAAGCCCGTGTGTTTGCTGAAGGGCGTGTCCCGGCTTGTACGTTAGTCACTCGTGCTTGCCCTCGCTCAAAAGGATCATGTGGTTTTTTCTGAGGAGAAATCGTTTGCCCTTTCAGAACTGGCACAATGTCCACAAATGCACCAGTTTCTGCGTGTCTTTGTGGGTTTTAAGCTTCAGTTGGTGCTTTGCAGCTGTGAGAGGTCAGAACTACCACCCCACTGTGAACACGCAGTACGGGAAACTCAGAGGGGTGAGGGTACCCCTGCCCAGTGAGATCCTGGGACCGGTCGACCAATATCTGGGCGTCCCGTATGCGGCTCCCCCCATAGGAGAGAAACGTTTTATGCCCCCGGAGCCTCCTTCTTCTTGGTCAGGGATCAAGAACGCCACTCACTTTGCTCCCGTCTGCCCCCAAAATATTCACAATGCTGTGCCAGAAATCATGATGCCAATATGGTTCACCTTTAACCTGGATATAGTTACCACATACATACAGGATCAACATGAAGACTGTCTTTACCTAAATATCTATGTTCCAACAGAAGATGGTGAGTGTGTTGAGTATGAAATCAAAAATCTCCTTTTTTCTTCTATCTCTGCTTCCCACTCCTGTCCTTTCTCAAACTCTTTATGTTACGTTATTTATTTATTTATTTTGAGCGGAGCATGACATGTTGTCTGGCGCATGTGTCCGTGTCTGTCATCTCTACCTTCCATCTTGACTAGATTCTTCAAGTAGTCTTTTCATCAACTCTCCCCTCCCATGCCAATGTTAGAAGTTCCTCTTTTGACAAATACAAAAAAAAACTAAATACTTTCAATATGACTCCGTAAAAACAAAATCTAATCATGCCAGAGAGAAATTGGAAACACTTTTTGCACCTTCTTACTTTCAGTGTCTTGACTGTTCTGGGGATATTAGCAGTATTAGCCTGCCTCATAAGTGAATGATCTCCTGTAGGGTTGGTGAAATATTCTGTCAGGTACACGAGAGGCCCGTGGCATCAGCCTGATCTATGTAAGACCCTTTACTCTTCTTTCTATATATCGTTCGTTTCATATGAAATTCAGCACAAGAGAACGTTTTGTGCAAAAAAAGCAAGCACTGGGTTCTTCGAAAACCTCAAAGTTTTGCACAGTGACTCTTCAAATGCCCTCCATTATTGACCACTTAAAGGAGAACTGCACAGGGAAATGGACTTGAAATGTTAAGTGCTCTGAAAATCAAATGGGCGATGTAAAAAAAAAAAAAATTCCTTTTATCAAGATGCAAGCTAGAAATCTGTACAATTCTGCCTCTGCCCTCTGTGTGGCTGTAATGGGTCTTAAATAGAAGTGCATGTGAATATGGGCTTCCCGTGTTCCAAGGTGCAGCAAATTCATTCCACCATTTCGGAATATTTCTGCCGCAACACCCCAGACACTTCTTTTTTGACAGGTCCTCTGTTGTTCTTGTTGTTGATAAAGACTTGGGATGGTTGGGGAGGGAGGAGGAGGAGGGAATGAGGGTGAAATGAGGAAGGGGGTGGGGGCGGGGTCTGACTCAGTCTCAGCTGTTGCATGTCACATGGGATCTGTTCCAGAGCTCGCTGTTATTTTGTAGTTTTCCCATTCATTTTACAGTCAAAAGAATATCCAAGGAATGTGCGAGGAAACCCAACAAGAAAATTTGTAGGAAAGGAGGTATGTAAAGAAAAAAGCAACACGGAACAAAAGGGAAGGCAATGAAAGAGTGAAGAAAGTGATGGGGGCTTCCAAAGTCGTCAATATCACCATCTGCTGACTCAAAATTCAAAGTGTTAATTGGGATGAACGTGGGTCTTGTGACTCAGCTCAACCTTGACATAAGTGTGAGAGATGAGTCAGTGATTGATGTGTGTGTGTGTGTGTGTGTGTGTGTGTGTGTGTGTGTGTTTTGGGTGTGTGTGTGTGTGTGTGTGTGTGTGTGTGTGTGTGTGGGTGTGTGTGTGTGTGTGTGCGTGTTGTGATGTTGTTACATTGTGAAGTTATGAGTCAAAACCGTCCTTGAATTTATAAAAATTACAAATTTTTATCCATGGTAGAACGTCATTTATAAAATATTGGGACATTTTCAGATTCAAAATGAAAGTCAGAGGCATGAGTATTGCCTTGAACAACCTTTGAATACCAGAAGATAACGTTTGACTTGGTTGCAAATTACTAACATTATTGATGTTTCGGTCTACTTTGAAATCACTTAAGACACCAACTTATTGAGAGAATTTGTAGAATACATCTAAAAGTGCCAAAGCCTGATCCATCAATTTGATTTGTACCAAAATGAGGAGGGCCACCTGCCTCGTAAATTTATTATCTACCATTGTTTTAAGTGGGTGCTTTGGGGTTTCCACTGCCATGACAGCTTTAATCTGCACGGCTACACAGCCACAGACAAAGAAGGCCCAATTTCTAAAATATATCAAGTAACCAAGGACGGATCAATTTTTGTTTGTGCCTTTAGGCAACTCAAACCCTAAGAATATGTTCTTGAGCATATTCTGGGACACAGCAAAGATTCACTTTCTACTGGAAGACGGTTGCTACTTATTTCCACAGAGGCAGTTGCCGCCCTCACTCAGCTTCATCCGTTCATTCTGCTTTGGTAAACCAATTTTGTTAGAGACAGTCTGGCCCTTCGGGCACTTCTGCTTCTGAATTAGTCCCAGATGTGGAATATATGCAGTTTTATCCATTTAATAATCCCCTTCCAGTTAAAATTTTTCAATTATCTTCCATGTGTTTGGTAATGAGAAAATGGTTTATCAAGTTTTATATGCCAGTGTTGTAATGTTTTATTGTGCAGCGGTAGCAGTATAGTTCCTCCAGTTGCTGTAAAGCAGTTTATATTTTAGGTATTTTCATTCAAGTCACACCATTTCTAAAGGTTGATAATTTGTTGAATTGTTTGTTGTTTTATTAATTGCATCTGTTCTATTCTAGAAATGAATATGTATACGTGTGCATGGTGAGCGTGTGTGAGAGAAATGTCCCACATATGTATACAGGTGACAAATTAAAGGAAATAATATTAGTATGACAGTCTCATGGGCACTTGGGCACATTTCCTTAGGAAGAAAATGGACCCTATTGAAATCCATTATAAATTATTTTTTTAAACCTATAGTTTTCATGAACTAATGCATTCCTTTTAATTTTACTTTACATATTTCTCTATACTTTTTACTTTTTAGTAGCCCATTATAGGTGGTGCTCTGCTTTACTATTTGAGGGGCACTTGAAAAATTGCAGACAGGGGTCTGAACATCCACCAACGTCCATCATGGGTGGGTGGTCCTGTGGAGTTCTGTCTCTCATCTCGTTTGACATTGTTTTAGTTTGAATGTAAAGAGCAAAAACACACGTGTGTTGTGCACGAGTACGAACCGAATACATTTAGGCATGATTTTTGGTCCATTTTCCAAAACTCCAGACTGATTTTTTTTTATTTTTATATATATATATATAAAAAATCGTTTCAACTAAACTGGAACAATTTTGTTTTTATTTTTCTTGTTCAAAAATATCTATTAAATAAATATTGTCAATTTAAAAAAATAACTAAAGTGAGTTTTTTTCTTCTAAAGTTTCTTAAGGAGCTAAATTGTAGTAAGTCATTAATATTTGATACTTTTATATTTGGCAAAGACAGCAATAAAAGATTGACTAGTTTTTTGTGAACAAATATGTTACAAAACAATATTTTTAAGGAGTTACCATAGGCAGTTGATTTTTCCTATATGGCACACTTGTTTTTTATAAAGTTTAAAGACCCTCTGAGAGTTGGAAAAAAAACATCATTGAGCAAATAATTGTGTAAACTATGATGTTTGCAGATGATATTGTGATCTGTGGTGAGAATAGGGAACAGGTGGAAGAGAACTTGGAGAGGTGGAGGTATGCACTTGAAAGAAGAGGAATGAAAGTCAGCCATAGTAAGACAGAATACATGTGAATGAAAGGGAGGTTGGTGGAACAGTGAGGCTACAATGAGCAGAGGTCATAAAGGTGCAGGACTTCAAAGACTGGGGGTCCACTGTCCAGGAAAATGGGGAGTGTGGTAAAGAGGTGAAAAAAGAGAGTCCAGACAGGAGTGTATGGAGAAAAGTTTCAGGAGTGATTTGTGACAAAAGGGTATTGTCAAAGGAAAAGTTTACAAGAAAGTGGTGAGACCAGCTATGTTGTATGGTCTGGAGACAGAGACATGGACAAAAAGACTGGAGAAAGAACTGGAAGTGGCAGAAATGAAGATGTTGAGGTTCTCCTTAGGAGTGACAAGGATGGATAAGATTAAGAATGAGATCATCGGAGGTACAGCACAGGTTGAACAACTGGGAGATAAATTTAGAGAGGCCAGACTGAGATGGTTTGGACATGTCTAGAGGAGGGACAGTGGGTATACTGGTAGAAGGATGTTAGAAATGCAGCTGCCAGGAACAAGACGAAGAGGAGATATATGGATGCAGTTAGAGAAGACATGGAGGTAGTTGGAGTGAGGACAGATGATGCAGAGGACAGAGGTGGAGGAGGATGACTCGCTGTGGAGACCCCTGAAGAGGGGAAAGCTGAAAGAAGAAGAAGATTAAGATAAAATAATGAACTGAAATTTCAACAAAACTTCTGTTTTACCCTTGTTATTCCATTAAGTCTCTATAAATGTTGAAATTATGTATTTAGACAGCAAACTAAAGACCTGAACACAGTTTAAAAATCAGCCAAAACAATTTTAGCACATTGTTCAAATGTCCTTTACTTTTTTCTCAATAGTTATTATTTTCACTTATTAGTTATGATTTATGGACAATAAAATTAGAATTAAAAAAAGTGATCCAGATGTGAGAAGAAAAAAATGTCCAAATGACTTTAATGCTGATGTGGTTTCTAGCACCGTCGTTATTTGCCAAAATCATGGGATGTCAAGTATAAACGCATCAAAAACTACCTCAAAGAGAAGGACCTATGAATCCTGATATTGTTTCTATATAGAAGCCACTCTCATCAGTAAAGAAATACATCAAAGTACCCTTTAAAAGATAAAGGTAGTCACTTCTATCTGGGACCATGTGAAGTTCCTCTCACAGCCTACGGTGATCAAAGCTTTGGCTTTCCTTTAATTTGTCATCTATATCTATATCAAACTGATATTTTATTTAGGATGTTAAGATTTTCTTTGCAAAGGTTTCAGTATCAGCCTGTGTCCTGTATCAGAGTCATACACACTGTGCATTTTCAGTACTAATATACAAATGCAGAGCTTGTAAAATTTTGCTACACTGTAAATGAAAAGTGCTTCATTTGGTTCCTATTAATTGATTTTGTGTGATTGTTGCAACAGTAAGCCCTTGCTGCAGAGTACCTCCCGTTTTACTAGAATACAGTGCAGGAGGGCTTTCTACAAGGAAATTGATGCTTTGCTATCAATGATGAGGCTCGTTTTTCGTTACTCAGAAAAAATGTAAAATAGTGCTGCCCTGACTAAACATCAAATACAGATTAAATAAAGCATCTACATTTACATTCAACATCAAAGTATTTAAATCAGAATCGCAGTTCAGTTGGTTGTTCCTCACAGCAAAGCGAACCTCGTTTGCACAGAACTGGATCAACGCAACATTTATCTTTGTTAAACACTCTGATGATTGTGCTGCCCAAGTTATTTAGTAGACCTCTTTCTTTCTTTTTTTTTTTTTTTTGCCAGACTAGCACATCATTTATTCAGATGTCCAAGCAGGTAATGGTTGAGGTCATGAGAAGGTGATCTAATGTGCAGCATCAGCATCTGCACCTGAGCCCTCCAATCTGTCCCTGTGAAGAGGCCTTACAGCAAGTGCTCAGAGCAAAGAGCAGTGATAAAGCTGCAGACACCGGAGCCTTGGTTATACCACTCAGTCATTTTCTCTGCTCTGAGTTCGAGTGAATGGAGTGAAGAGAGGGGTAATGATGTGCGGGGACACAGCTAAGCACTATTCCACCTCGGACTGCGAGATTGGCTCGAGATGGGTCAATTTTATAAGAGGATGAACCCAGATGAGATCAGTCTTTATCTTTAAAAGAGGTTTATGGCACGTAGTTAAATTGTTTGTCAAACTTAAAAGATCAGTGCTGTCCTGGCCTTTTTTATGAGACCCTGCTGAGGCAGAATTTCAGAGACAATATGTCGTGTTGTGTTCTGCCTTTATAGAATGGGCTCTTCATTTTCCACTAGCTTATACAGCACATTGCTCTCACTCAAAGTAATCTAGATTAATGTCTTTTACACCACTTTCTCCAAATTATACTGAATAGAAGATGATCTTAGGTTGTTTCATTTTTAAAGGTAATGAAAAGGATATTTCCTGTAGATACCTCCTTGACTGGCCTCATTTGGGAGAAATAAAATTTTATTGTGACCAGGCTGATGAGCTAAAGGCTAGTTTGAGTGGCTAAAGTGGTTCACTGCTGTTTTAAAACAATTCAAAGCACTAACCTCTTCTAATCTCTGTTGTATACAAATACTTTATAAACTTTTACACTATGTCAGTTTCATATTACACAGTTATTCCAACGTAATTGTTTAGAAATTTCTGTTGTATTTGCCAGTTGCACATGTGTTACAGCTAGCTGCTGCCGCCACTTTTTTGTGCTTGCAAATGAACTCAGAGATTGGATCATTGGAGCAAGTGGAG